AGAGAGAGAGAGAGAGAGAGAGGGAGAGAGAGCGCGAGAAATCTGCAGGGCAGGCTGGCAGTCTGGAGACCCAGGGAAGAATTAATGTTGCAGCTTGAGACAAAGGCAGTCTGGAGACAGGATGCCATCTTCCCTGAGGGGCCTCCGTCTTTTCCTCTTAAGGCCTTTCATGGATTGGATGATGCCCAACCCATTATGGAGGGTAATACGCTTTACTCAAAGTCGACTGATTTAAACGGCAATCTTATCTAAAAAAATACCTTCAGAGCAACATCTAGACTGATGTTCAACCAAATATCTGGTTACCATGGCCCAGCCAAATTGGCACAGGAAATTAACCATCACAGACGTGGAAGAGAATTACACATACTTCTTTATTTTTTTAAAAATAAATTTATTTATTTATTTATTTTTGGTGTTGGGTCTTTGTGGCTGCGCACGGGCCCTCTCCACTTGTGGCGAGCGGGGTCTACTCCCCGCCGTGGTGTGTGGGCTTCTCATTGCGGTGTCCCCCCGGTTGCGGAGCACGGGCTCCAGGCGCACGGGCCTTCATAGTGGGTCTTGCTGCCTCATTCCCTCCTGGCCTCCCTGTTTCTCAGGCTCGATGCTGTCTCAGGACCTTTGCACTTGTTTCTTCTACCTGGAGTGCTCTTTCTCTGAGTATCTGCATGGCTTTTATCCTGTCTTTCTTGCAAGTTTTTCCTGAAATACTACTATCTAAGTAATCGTTATGGTCTAATGTTTGTGTTTCCCCTAGATTCATATGTTGAAATCCTAACCGCTAGCATGATGGTATCAGGAGATAGGGCCTTTGGAGGTGCTTAGGTCATGACGGTGGAGCCCTCTTGGAGGGGATTCGTTCCATTACAAAAGAGGCCCCACCAAGCTCCCTCACTCTTTCTGCCATGTGAAGATGCAGTAGGAGGATAGCCATCTACGAACCAGGAAGCAGGCCCTCAGCAGACACTGAATCTGTCGGTGCCTTGATCTTGGATTTCCATACTTTCCTTTTGAAATAAATCTAGAAACACGTATGTTGGCTTAAAGTCAATAATATGTAAGTAACAGTATAGGTTTTATGGCCTGAATTGTGTCCCTCAAAATCTGTATGTTGAAGTTCTAACCCCCAGTACCTCAGAATGTATATGTAGTTGGAGACTGGGCCATTAAAGAGGTAATTAAGTTAAAATGAGGTATTTAGCGTAGACCTAATTCAGTTGACTGGTATCCTTTTAAGAAGAGAAGATTAGGACACAGACATGCAGAGGGAAGACCATGCGAAGACACAGGGAGTAGGCAGCGATTTATATGCCAAGGAGAGAGACCTCAGAAGGAACCAACTCTGCTGACACCTTGATCTTGGACATCTAACCTCCAGAACTGTGAGAGAACACATTTCTGTTGTTTAAGCCATCCAGCGTGTGGTACTTTGTACACCAGCGCTAGCAAACCAATACACTGGGTGATGTGCGGATGCGGCGGAGATTGTGAAGGTGGTCCCCAAGTGACTGAGTTTGGGGAAGCTGGTACTGGGCAAAGGTATGGGTTTGGCTGGAATCCTAGCCTTGTCCGTTCCTAGTTGTGTGATCTTTAGCACAATCTTAACCTCTCTGAATCTCAGTGTCTTGGTTTAAAGAATGGGCCGATAGTAAGCACCTTGCCTGGAGGTTGTAGGATTAAAGATGTGATAACGTGTGTAAATGCCTGGTGCTCAATAACTGGCAGTCTTCTTACGGGAAAGCAGGCACCAAGGGGGCCAGGGATTCATCCTTTAATTTAAGCACCAAGTCAGCAGAGAGTCCTGGGCCTCCTTATCCCTGCAGCGTTGGCCAACCAAGGTGAGTCAGCCTGGGGGAACCCAGGAGACGGCTGAGGTGCTAGGGGTGGATCTCTAGGGGCCACTTCACTGTGGGTTTACTCCTCTAGGAACCAGGAGCCAGGCACTCTCCCCAATTCACACCTTGTGAGATGCGACTCTCATTGGAGCAGCGACTTGTTCTAGGCCACCCAGATGCACAGGGCCAGTGCCAGGACCCAAGCCCGGAGCCCGCGGCCTGATCCCTAGGATGCACGGGGCTTGTACCTTCTGGGTTCCGCCTCCAGCTCTCAGAGCAAGTTTGAAGATTGCCCCGCCCCTTCCCTCCCGCCTTCCCAGCCCGCGCGCTCCCAAGGAAGGGGCGGAGTTCTCCAGCTCTGAGGACACCGTCGCCACGGCAACGCGGCCATACTGGCCCCAACGGACCCGGGATCTGGGGCTGCGGCGCTGAGGCCTCGTGGGCAGACCGGAGCATGGACAGCCTCTTCGTGGAGGAGGTGGCGGCCTCCCTGGTCAGGGAGTTCCTCAGC